TGTGATGGGGCCATCAGATGGAGTGAAACATATCCAATGCAAACTTTCCAAGTGATCACTGATAGTTCATGGACACTCACCGCAAAATCAAACACTGATAAGGCAACTGAAGAGGTCAACATTCAATTACAAAAGAAAAGTAAAAATGTCACAGGATGTTTTGTTCCTGCACAGGGATCAAAGGCAATTGCATCTACACTAAAAAGGAAGGCAGAGGAGGGTCTGAATTCTGATGAACCTAAATCAAAGAAGATTAGAGCCAGCTTTGGACCTATGCCTGAAACTCCTGTTGGGATTCTTTGGGATTCAGTAAATTACAGCTGCTCATATGATTCTCTATTTACAATTTTGTGTGAGATTTGGATTTACAATCCAAAAAGCTGGACAAAAACATTTTATTCATTTGGTAATCAAGGAAAAATATTGTCAGAAGGATACAAAAAAGTTATCAGAGGTCTTGAAACTTTAGAAAATGTTAGGAATGATGTGCGTGCATCACTTAAACAAGAAAACTCAGATTATGAGTCCTTACGAGTTTACGAGTAAGACTCATTCTTTATCAACTGAGGACTTAGACAAATTTTTCATTGATTCATTGATTTACCTTTCATCACCGCGGGAACCTTTTCTCTTAAGGAGAGAAGCAGCCATAAAATCAGGAAAAATGGCAAATAAATTGGCCAAAAATGTGTAGAAAATCAGAATATTGCTTAGTAAGTTGGAGAGGCTGTGTTCAGGGTTCAGGGTCCATATCCAAATATAGAAAGCTGTCTGAAAAATGGAAACAGATAGGTTGAGAAGCAGTGCAAAATAAGTGAAAAATAAGCATGGTATTCACCATTGCCATGATCATGAATGGGCTGTGTTCAGGGTTCAGGGTCCATCTCTAAAAATAGAACAAAGCCAGATAGATTGTATAACATGATTACAAAATATGCCAAAAAAGGGAAGAAAAATCGGAATGATATTTGCTGTTGTCATGATATTGAAGGGGCTGTGTTCAGGGTCCATATCTAAATATAGACCGAAAAAAAAACA